GGGTCAGGGCGGCGCTCACATACCCACGGTGGTGACCAGCGTGCTGGCAAAGAAGAGAGCCGAGGCAAAGTCCCAGGCGGGGTCCGAGGCGTTGGCGGACCCCGAAGCGTTGGCGAGCACGGCGCGCCCCAGCCGACCGGCCGCCAGCACCCGCTCCACGAAGGCGTCCAGGGCGGGGGCGGCCACACAGGGGCTCCGCCGCAGTAGCTGCTCGCGTAGCATCTCCAGCTCAGCGCGGAGACGAGCTTCGTGCGGCCCCTCCAGCCGCGCCACCAGCAGAGCACCCAGACCCAGGTACGCGGCGTAGGCAGCCAGGGCGCCCGCCAGGAGCGCACCGCGCCGCATGTCGCCCTCCCGCCAGCTCCCTGCCGGCTCCACGCGAAGTCCCGCAGCCCCGCTGACGTGGCTCCCGCCTCCCGACGGCCCGGCTCCCTGCTTCAGTTCCGGGAGTGCTCGAGGAGCGGCCACCAGCGCCCCAAAGAGGAACCAGAAGAAAAAGGGGAGGGGCGAAGGTGGAGGAGCGCCCGCCTACGGGAAACTGAGGTGCGCCCCACCGCCGGGTGCTAGAACCGAGAGGGTGGAGCCCAGCGCTCCGGGACCCAGGAGACCAGCGGGATGGAAAGGGTACGGGCATTCGCCCTTTCCTTCCATCCCTTCCTTCTCTGCCTCCCAGGCGTCGCGACTCCTTAGGTCAGAGAATCTGAACTCTCTTTTATGCTCGTGGACCAAGGAGTAGCGCTCCAGATCCCCGGGGCCATAGCTCACGCCTGCAAAGATTGTGCGCGTGCCCGAGGGGACAAGGGGACAGGCTGACATCCAGTCCTCGCTCCATTCGCCAAGTCGTGAGCTCTGGAGAGGGCTTGCATCCATCCGGAGGGGATGCCTAATTCACGAGAGATACCACGGCGGCAAGTGTCCCCTGTGCCTTCGCGGACAGAGTAGGGATCTTTAGCAATTCACTAAATCTGCTCAGGGCCCACTTCGTGCCCCGCCCTTTGCTAGGTGATGCTAGGAACACAACAGTGACCTGGACAGTTCTGGGACCTGCCTTCGGGGAGCTCCCAGCACTTCGAAAGAGTGACAGACCAAAGGGTAGGGGTCATGATGACAGAAGCACAACCAGAGTGACCAGGGCTGGGATGGGGGATGCCTAGAGGACTGTGGAGCCCAGAGGAGCCCAGAAGAGGCAATTGCTACGGCTTAGGGAGGTCAAGAGAGCTTCCAACAGGAGATACCTAAGCCGAGACATAAAGGATGAACAGGAGTGAGACAGGGTCTCTTTCCATGGCAGAACCACAGATATACGCCTTCACTGGAGGAGGAATTTTTCCTTCCCTGTTCCCCTGGACATTTCTCCACATCCTCCTCCAAAAGGAAACCAGCACACTCCCTGATGGCCATCTGGAGGGCAGCCCAGAATCCCAACCACATCTGACTGGCAGAGGAGTGGGGCTTGGGCTCTATTTATAAAACTGTGGCAGCTCTTGGGGAAGAGCCCAACTTAGAGCCAACAACTCACAGGAAGAGACAATAAAACAGTAACAGTAATGGCCAGTGAGCAAAGGCTTCAATATGTCAGTCCCTGTGGACACAGGGGCTTGCATTGAATTCTCAACCCGTCCTCTATTGTTCCCATTAAACAGATGAGAAATTTCAGGCTTAAAAATGGAGTAGTCACACAACTGGTAAAAAGTGACTCATGTGAACATGAGGCCAGCAGGAAGCCCAAATACTTACTTGCTTTACTAATAAAAGATATTCACAGAAGAATTTAGGAGAAGAGAAGCTGAGAATGATAAAAAGGTGGTGGCACCCAGGGGACGGATGCTAAACCAGAGGTGCATAAGAGGAATGGGGGCACCCCCTCATACACACACACACACGCCCCACACACAAATCTAGGGACTGAACCAGAACTCCTGAGAAACCAAAACAGTCCTCAAGGTCCCCAGAAAAGACCATATCTCAGAGGAGGAAAGGGAAAGCCACAGTGACAGGGTCACTTGCTGACATCCTTCCGGAGTGCTATCACTGCCCGGCAGACATTTCTACCATTATCTTTGCCTAAGATAAGTGGAGGAAACCGAGGGACAGAGAAGGGGAGACGGATGGGGAGAGAGGGGGAAGACCGCGTGAGATAAAGGGGGAGACTGGGGGACAAAGAAAGGAGAGACTAAGGGAGCTTAATTCTCAGGGCTCCTCACCTGCAGTTGTGCCTGTGTGTGCTGAGTTGCTGGGGGTTGCCAAGTTTTTGGCTGACCGAGGAAGCCAGGTCACAACGCAAAGCATTTTTATGAATTTCTGGGAAAATTTCTAAAGATAACTTCGAGGTAAGACACCTTGGTTCTTACCACCTAACTTGCTGGGTATCTTTTTCTCACTCTAAATGTTTACTACCTAAAGTCTTCCAAAATTGTATAGGGTCCAGAGTCTCTTTAGCCCCTAAGGAACACAATTGGATCGCTCCTCTCCCGCTCCACACCCTTCCCGAGCTGTCGCGTGCTCTCCGTGACCCAAACTGAGCGTCTGTCCATAGAAAACTCCATTTCCCAACGTGCACAACTCCGCCTACTAGGATTGTGCCCGGCTCCACCTCCAGTCTTGACTCTCGCCTTACGTCACGGACCTCCAGTCTCCGCCTCTCACCCTCCGCCAATCTACCGGAAGCCTCGCGAGAGGGCGTGGCCTCCGAGTGATCGTAACGCCCATTGGCTGTCGCGTCGCCGGTAGGGCGTGGCTACGGGAGCCGGGCGGGCACATTTCGAACCGTGCCCGGGGCGGTGGCAGCGGCGGTGGCCGAGGATGCACCCAGCAAGCCTGGCGGCGGCGGGGACGCCCCGGCAGCGTAAGTGGCGTACGTGGCCTGCCAAGGAGATAGGGCGGGCGGGGGGCGGCCACCGTGGCGGTTGGAGAGGTCACTGCAGGTCGGAGGTCACGAAGTCAGGGATCTGGAGCTTCGAAGTGTGCAACGCGCAGAGATGCCAGGTCCGGGTAGGGGTGCGTTGGGGTCGATTCTTCTTATCTTGAGGAAATTATTTTGGAAGTAAACAACTTCGAGCAGGATATTGTATAATGGGCAGAAAAGCGCGACTTTCATTCATTTGCAGTTAGCGATCAGCCTGCCCCCTACTCTTCCGTGGTCTTGGGCTGTCGCCCACGTTCCTTAGGACAGTGTTCGTAGCCCTTCGTGAGCTCAGAGGGCCGTGGTTACCCTCATTTAAAATTTGAACTTCTATTTATTGTACTGTTAACCTCTTTTTCTTCTCTTTGTGAATTCGTATTGTTGAATCCCTCTTCATCCTAGTGAGTGTGCATGCATCTCATTTATTCATTCAACATATCTTGCCTCAGCTCCCTTGTTTTTAGTCCTATGCTGGAATGTGGGTACCTGGTGGTAACCAGCATAATCTAGCCATTGTTAATTTACAGCTCAGAGTTTAGTGGGAAGACAGACTCTAGACTCAGAAGCAAACAAGTCAACAAGAAAATTTGGGAGTGATTAGAGCTGTAAAGAGAATTATCCAGGATGTGACTAGGGGTTGCGGAGGCCTCTCTGTTGAGGGGGGAGGTGGCCGATGCTGGGGATACAGCAGTGCCTAGACAGCCCTGGTTCCTGCCCTCATGGAGCTACCAGTACAGAGCAGAATACAGCGACAGGCTAGAGTGATGGAGCTATGATGAGAAAAGCACAGAATGGTTATAGCCGGGATGGAGGTGTTGTGGTAGCCCACATTAGGCACGTGACCCAGCCTCAGCGTGTCAGTGAAGCTTCTGGGAAGAGGAGTTAACCCAGAGAAGGGATTTGTGGTGAGAGGGAAAAGCACTGGAGGCCTGTGCCAAGTAAACAAGTAGACAAATGAATATATATCTAGCAATTGTGATAAGTACTCAGAGGGAAAAAAGAACCACTGTACATAATGAGAAAGAACAAGGTGGGGCTAGTGCTTTATATTGAGGAGTGAGGAAGGTCTCTCTGAGAAGAAAACACGTGAGCGAAGGCCTGAGTGCTACATTGGCAGGTGTTAACCGTGGGAAGGAGTTTCAAGGTGCTGGCCTAGTCATTCAAAGCCTATTGGGGCTAGAAGCTTGGCAGGGTCAAGGCCTAAGAAGAAACCACTGTGCCGGGGTGCAGTGAGCCCCAGGAGAGGTAGCAAATGAGGGTGGTTGGCAGGGCCTTGTGGGCATTTGGATTTTATTCTCAGTACAATGGCCCTGATCTTAAGCAGATGACAGGAGATGTTGTCTTTGGCATTTAAAAAGATCAGTCTGGCTGCTCAATGGAGAGAAGGTTGGTGCAGCTAAGGATGAAAAGGGGGACCGAGGAGGAGGTCTTTTGAGTCAGGTGAGAGGGGAGGATAACACTAAGACAGTGGGAGAGAAGGAGCGATTGGTTGGCTGGATGCCAGACAGCAGGGCAGTGAGGGGCTCGGAGACAGAGGTAAGTAAGGGCGCAGGCACGGCTGGAGGGCATTGCCAGGAAGTGGTCAACCTGGGTCTGGAGCTAGAGAGAAGTGGTAGCTAGAGACAGAGCCCAGAGCCCAAGACACACGGTGGCTGTGAAAGCCGTCGGTGTGGGTGAGAAGCAGAAGACAGGACAAGGTGGAAAACTGGGTCACATATTTCAGGGAGCTGGAAATAAGTCACCGATTGAAAGGGACCAGTCAGGAAACTAGCTCCGTGAAGGCGGGAGTTTTGTCTTTTTGATCATTGTTGTATCCACCATGCCTACAGCAGAGCCTAAGTGTTTGTGGGACTCAGACAGGAAGGAGAAAGAGGCAAGTACAGTGTCTCAGAAGCCAAGAGTTGGAGGTTGGCATTTGGGTACTACATCCAGTGCTGCAAGGACTTGAGTCGGATGACAGTGAAATAATGGCCTCAGCCTAGTAGTGCGGAGATCCTTTAGGAAGCCCATGGGCCAGACCACCAAATGCCGAGGGCTGAGGGGGTGACAGCGAGGGAGGAAGGGCTTGCACCAAAGCTTTCAGGAAGCAGCCTTTCAGGCCACAGGTGGGAGAGGAAAAAGAGAAGTGGGGCTTGGGGACAAGTGGGCCTGGGCCAGTGCTGCCTACTTGAGGACACATGAGTCAGCTTTCAGGCTACCAATAATTGAAAAGAAAAGCAGAGGGGCTAGTAATTGATAATGGGTGCCAGGGATTGACTGCTTTTTATGTGCCAGGCAAGGGGCTGAGCAGTTTATGAGCGTCACTTTGTCTTGGACTGTTAACCCCATTCTCCAGAGGAGAGAACTGAGGCATAGAGAAAGTCACGACACAGACGGTTCCATCCCAGCGTAATCCTACCGCCCTGTTCCCTGTGCCCACAATGGCGCCTGACACATAGGAGGGGCTCAGTAAGCATTGGCTGCAGTGGCATCACTTATTGGTGAGGAGCTGGAGCCTGACTGCTGAGTTCAGGTCTCTCATATCCCCATCTCCTCCCTCTTCCTGACCCCACCCCAACTAAGCACACCTCCGGTTGTCCTGGCCCTCCTGCCTCCAAAATCTATCTGGGAGCATCCCATCCCCACCACCTGCACCCTCCATCCTGGTCTCCTACCTGGATCACCAGCAGCTTCTTCCCGCCTCTCCTCTCTCCATCCCCACTCCCCAGGCTGTTCCCCACATGAAGCTAGAGGGACCTTAAAACTTGAACCCTGGCTCTGCCTCATACTATCTGTATGACTTTGGGCAAGGACCTGAACCTCTTTGGGGTTTGCTTTCCCCATCTGTAAAACGAGGATGCTAATAGCATCGACACAAATGGGTTTTTGTGAAGATCGAGTTAATCCGTAGTGTTTAGAACATGGTCTGGTGGTTAGTACCCAGCTGGGGTTGTAATATTTATCGGGGGATCTGGGCTGGGTTCCTGCTCTTTGCTCACTCAGTTTGGCCCTTTGCCCAAGTCATTTAGGCCCAAGTCCGGGCCTCGGTTTCCACCTCCTTAAATAGAGATGGCCATTGATTCGTTCATCAGGTTTCTGTCAAGTGCTGGTTACGGGATAAGACAAAGATCTCCACCTTGCGGGGCTGACATTTTTGTTACTGTCTGGGTAAACAGACAGTAAACAAAAGAAAGAAAACAGCTAGTATCTCAGCTGGTGCTGAGTTCTGTGGCTATAAATGAAGTAGGGAAGGGGGGTGGCGAGTGCCACCAAAGGAGGTGCAGTTGTAGACAGGATGAGGGGGGAAGGCCCGCTGAGCTGACTCCAAGGAAGGCAGGGAGACGTGAGGACATCTGGGGGAGGAGCATTGGGGTAGAGGAAAAACCAGTGCAGCTGCCATGAGCTGGGAATGTGCCTGGTATGTTCAGTGGGTGTTGAGGCCCCCGTGGCTGGAGCCGAATGAGTGAGGGGGCGCATGAGAGGGGATACGGACAAAGACCTTGTTTGTAAAAGGCTTAGTACAGGATTCTGTGCACAGTGGGCCCCGGTACATAGCAGCTATCAACATCATCATCATCGTTATTTGGATGGATGGATGACAGGCAGAGCCCGACTACACTTGACTGGTCAGCCCATCTGACATCACAACCAGTGCCCCACTGTGGCAGAGCCGGAGGGAACGCACGTGCAGAATGAGTGAGGCGCCCACCCCTCTCTCCCTGCAGCCTCGAAGCGGAGGATCCCTGTGTCCCAGCCAGGCATGGCTGACCCTCACCAACTTTTTGATGACACAAGTTCGGCCCAGAGCCGGGTCTATGGGGCCCAGCGAGGACCCAGCAGCCTGGGCTATCATGCACCCTCCACCTCATCCCAGGCAGCCTTCCTGGATGATCCTGTGTCCAACATGGCCATGGCCTACGGGAGCAGCCTGGCCGCGCAGGGCAAGGAGCTGGTGGATAAGAACGTGAGTGGGCTGGGCTGGTGGGCGTGCGGGGAGGCCAGGGCCATCGGGCCAGGGCTTCAGGTAGAGCTCTGCCTCCCAGATCGACCGCTTCATCCCCATCACCAAGCTCAAGTATTACTTTGCCGTGGACACCCTGTACGTGGGCAAAAAGCTGGGCCTGCTCTTCTTCCCCTACCTGCACCAGGTCAGCACTGCCCCGCTGGGGTGACTGTGGTCTGAGGCTGGACACAGCCTCCGGGCACGGTGGGGGGTGAGTCAGGCTGGGGCAGGCTTGAGGGGCAGGGGGGCTGACTCACCCCAAGCGAGGGTCTCTAGGGTGGGAGGATTTCAGCTCTGGGGGTCCTGCCTGCTCCCCCCACTATCCCCACAGGACTGGGAGGTGCAGTACCAGCAGGACACGCCAGTGGCCCCCCGCTTTGACGTCAACGCTCCTGACCTCTACATTCCAGGTTTAACCCCACCTGCCTCCACCTGCACCCTCCTCCCTCGGGGTGGGCATGCCTACGGCAGAGGTTTAGGTCTCGGAGGCGAGGGTGGTCTCCCCTCTGACCAGTGTCGGTGTGTCTGCCTCCCACAGCTATGGCTTTTATCACCTACGTCTTGGTGGCTGGCCTGGCGCTGGGGACCCAGGATAGGTAAGAGGCGTGGAGCGGGCAGAGTGGCGTGAGCTGTGGGGCTTGGGGTGTTGAGGGGCAGGCAGGAGACTCTCTTGTCCCCACTCTCTCTTAAAAGCTCCACCATGCTCCCATGTGGCCCAAGACAGAGCCCTCAGAGTCACGCTCACCCTAGCCTCTTCCCTCTTTCCTACCCACATTTGACCCATCGCCACACCCCATGCTGGGTTCCTTTCTAAATCCACCTTTCCCCTTGACCTCCACCACCAGGTCCAGCCTCATCCTCGCCCTGTCCTAACCAGCTGCCCACACGCCTCCTGCACCCCAGCTCCAGCAGTAGCCAGGAAGGTCTTGTCTGAGAGGCAGTAGCCAGGAAGGACTATGTCTCACGCTGCTCAGAAGCTGTCTGTAGCTCCCCTGCTCCCAGACCAAGCCCAGCTCCTCAGCCCGGCTCTTGCCCTTCTCGCTTTGCTATGCCACTCCGGTTCTCCTTCCATCCTCCAGAGGGCCAGGCGCTGCCACCCCAGGGCCTTCGCGTATCCAGTTCTCTTTGCTCAGGAGTCTGTTCCTCCCTTACATTGTTACCTGCCGAGCAGCTGCTCACCCAAGATATCTACTCGGATGTCACTTCCTTGGGGAAGCCTTCCCACCTCGCAAGCTGGGTCAAGCCCCCACCTCTTACTCATAAGCCCCTGTTCATTTCCTTCGCGGCACTGAAAACAGTTGTCGTTTGAGTAAATTAACTGTTGAGGCACTGGACATATGGCAGAGACCAAGGTCCTTCATTCCCAGCCAACTCCTTACTCCTTCAGGCCTCAGTGCAGGTGTCCCCTCCTCTGGGAAGCCCTATCTGACATCCCTTCCTGGCTGGGTCAGGCACCTCCCCTGCCCTGCACTTCCCGCATGCCAGCCTTGACCTCTCTAGGCTGTCACTGAGGACAGGTCTGCCTTTCCTGGAATGGGACTTCCATGAGGACAGGGCCCAGGTCTAGGCCCAGGTCTAGGCCCAGGTCTATCTTGGTTACTGCTGGGTCTCCAGCCCCACCCGACACAGGCTGTCCTCAGGTGGAAACTCAGGGAGGGTCTGAGCCGGCCAACCGAATGACAGAGCTTGGGTGCCGGCAGGTTCTCCCCAGACCTCCTAGGGTTACAGGCCAGCTCGGCGTTGGCCTGGCTGACGCTGGAGGTACTAGCCATTGACAGGGCCCAGGTCTATCTTGGTTACTGCTGGGTCTCCAGCCCCACCCGACACAGGCTGTCCTCAGGTGGAAACTCAGGGAGGGTCTGAGCCGGCCAACCGAATGACAGAGCTTGGGTGCCGGCAGGTTCTCCCCAGACCTCCTAGGGTTACAGGCCAGCTCGGCGTTGGCCTGGCTGACGCTGGAGGTACTAGCCATCCTGCTCAGCCTCTACCTGGTCACTGTCAACACCGACCTCACCACTATCGACCTGGTGGCCTTCTTGGGCTACAAGTATGTCGGGTGAGTACCTCCACCTTCCCCCCTACCAGCCCCAGCCCTGGGCGCTTCCTCAGACCAGCCTTCCCCTCTCCCCCCAGGATGATTGGCGGGGTCCTCATGGGCCTGCTCTTTGGGAAGACTGGCTACTACCTGGTGTTGGGCTGGTGCTGCGTGTCCATCTTTGTGTTCATGGTGAGCTGGGGCTCAGGGGAGCATGAGCAGGCCTCCTGGGCATAGTTGGGGTCCCCTGGAGGCATCCAAGCAGAAGATGTCAGGTGGGAAGTTTAGATCAGAGCCACATTGCTGAACTGAGGAGCCTGGGGGTCAGGAGGGCTTCCTGGAGGAGGGGGTATCCAGTCTAGGGCCTGAAGGAAGGGAAGAGTGGAGCCAACCAGACCGCTAGGGTAGGCACACATCCTCACCCCATCTCCTTAACACGGTGGGCTTTCCTCCCAGAATTTCTGTTAGGATGAAGAAAAGGTTCAGCACCCCTGAAGTAGCTTGTTTGAGGGCCCTTCCAGCTGGTGTGGAGGTGCTGGTTATGAGCCCCGGGGTCCACCAGGCCAGGGTTTGACCACAAGCTGTGCTGGATCCTGGGCAGATCACTTCTTTTTCAATCTCAGTTTCCCCTTTTGTAAAATGGGGATGATGACCACGGCACCTCAGGCGACTGGGTGGACCTGATGTGAGCATGTGTGAGGAGTGGAGGGCACAAGCTGGTGGTTGGTGGGCCACAGCTGACTCTCAGATAAACTTTGACTTGGATGTCATTATTTACAAGGTTTTTTAAAAAGGCATCTGGCTTGTGTTTAAAATTGTCCTCTGGCCAACATAAGCTGATGACAGCAGCCAGGGCTGAGCCTGGCCACCCCCTCAGGCAGGGTAGTCACAGTGCATTTCCCGCCCCTCACTCAGAGGGTTGGCCTGGGTTCGCACCTTCTCGTTTTCTCTCAGGGCCTAGGGAAGAGCATCACCATCTGTTAGATTTGGGGGAAGCCAAGACGCCCCAGGAGCAGAGACTTGAGCCCAGCTGCTCCCGTGGAGGGAGGAAGTGGAGGCTGCAGAGGGGCAGGAGCTGGGAGTGTTCAGGCGCCTGCCTGGCTGAGAGCTCAAGGGTGACCCTTCCCGCTCCAGATCCGGACGCTGCGGCTAAAGATCCTGGCGGAGGCAGCGGCAGAGGGAGTCCCAGTGCGAGGGGCACGGAACCAGCTGCGCATGTACCTGACGATGGCCGTGGCGGCGGCGCAGCCTCTGCTCATGTACTGGCTCACCTTCCACCTGGTGCGGTGAGGGCAGTGGGCCGCGCCTCCAGCTGCTGTTCCTGGCTGCCACCGCTAAGCTGCTCATCTCCCGTCCACCTGCCGGTCTAGGACCTCCCGCCCACCCGCTGTGGCCTCCAGGCGCTGTCCACCCAGCCCGAGACTCTCCCCCTCCTGACCCCCCCAGGTGCTGAGATCCCCAGCTGCACAGGCCACCCCACCCCCGCAGGCGGCCCCTCTTCTGGAAACAATAAACCGTGGTGGGCCCAGTGTGGGTGACCTCTCCTTGGTGGCACGAGGCTGCCCGGCAGGCGGCAGCCCAGCTCGGAAGCTGGCGGTGGGCGGGACGGTTTACAGTGCCTGCGACTCAAAGGTCTAGAGAAGGTTTAATGAGCCCAGCCCAGGCCTGTCAGTGGGAAGCCTTCTTCTTCTTCTCCTTTTTCACCTTGGACTTCTTGACCTTGCTTGGGTGGGTCTCCGATCCTGAAGCATGAGGCTGTCGGGATGGGAGAGGAGAGGGTTCCTTGGTGAACCAGTTGCCCAGGTTCCGGCTGGGCCTCTGCCCTGGCCTGGGGTGCTGGGCACCTGCTTGGGAGGGGGAAGCCTCTTACCTTCACCTCCGTGTCCGAGCTGCTGGAGCTGCTGCTGCTGCTGCTGTCAGAGTCTGAAGAACCTCCGTGGCCGTGCCCGTGCCCGTGCCCGTGGCCGTGGCTGTGGCCGTGCCCGTGCCCGTGCCCGTGGCCGTGCTGATTGAAAGCATGACAGGTTGAGGGCCCCCAAGTTGGAAGCCTAAGCTGGAGGCCTGAGAGGGCTCTAGGATTAAAGGCTCCCCCATTCCACCCACCTCGGGATGTGCTTAATCTCGAGGTGATTTACCCCCAGGCTAGCTGCCCCTGCCTCTGACGGACCCTGAACTTTGGGGGCAGGGCTGGCTGGGCTTGGGGTCACTCACCTGGCCTGTCTTCTTGGCCTTCTTGGAGGTGGACTCCATGGCTGCAGAGCAAGTCGGGTGGATTGGTGCAGGAAATGCACCTCAAGTTCCCCACACGCAAGATTGCACCTGCCCCGGGGTCAAACTTTATAGTGGCCAGAGAAGGTGTGTCCAGAGGGCTGAGGGAGGAGGCGGGACCTGCTGGCCCAAGGAACGCTGAAGAGTCCCACCTGACCTTCGGTCAGAGTCCTTAGCCCTGACTCACAGCCCCTCCCCAGCTTCACCCAACTTCCTCTCTAAGGTATGGGGAGGGTGGACAGTTAGCAGCATAAAAAAAAAGACACTCCCCTCCCAGCCTTGGCAAGTGAGCGGGGACTGTGTGGATGGGGTTGGGGTTTGGGGTGGGCAGCTGCAGATTTCTAGGGAGGGGACCAGAGCTGTCAGCAGCTTCTCCAAAAAGGGTCAGATGCCTGCTTTTGAAGAAATGAGAGGGAGGTGGCTGCCTGTGACCTGTGTGCCATGAGAACACTGTCACTCCCTGTGTACTTATTGCATGCCAGGCGTGGTTCCAAGGGCTCCACATTTACTCAGTTTAACAACCCCTCTGTGACTTGACAAGAAGCAGTCTGAAGGGGTGAAGAGCGTGAACTTGGCACGAGCTTGCTGATTCTGAAGCCACTCCATAGCACTTAGTAGCAGGGTGCTGTGGGGAAAGTCGCTTTGCCTCCCTATGCCTTAGTTTCCTCATCTGTAAATGACAGCTACCATATGAGGTGGATGTAAAAATCAAATAGGTCTACGGCCACGCCACCCTAAGCATGCCCGATCCCATCTGATCTTGGAAGCTAAGCAGGGTCAGGCCTGGTTAGTACTTGAATGGGAGACCACCTAGGAAGACCAGGTGCTGTAGGCATAAAAAATAAGGAATTATAAGCTGACAAGGTCCTTGCAATCTGTGAGGTCAACCAAGGGTTGCCTCGCCTAAAAAAAAATAATTAATTAAAAAATAAAATGGATTAGTTTCCTAGAACTGTGCCTGGCACAGAGTAAGTACTTAGGAAATAATATTTTTTGAATATTTTTGAAAATAAAAGGCAGATGTTATTACTATCCCTGTTTTACAGACGAGAAAACTGTCAGACCAAATAAAATGATATGAAGCAAATCCAGCAATGAACAGACTATAACTGGGGCTCGCACCCCGGCGGTGCCTGGCCCTTCCATCTCTCCCTGGAGGGCCTCAGCAGAAGGGGCAGCCCAGTCTTTCTTCCCCACCCTGGGCTGGGCCCAGGTCAGGCTGGAGGAGGAGCTGGGGCCCTGAGCCATCTGCTCCCATTGCTGTCAGACCAAGTGTCCTTGAGAGTTCTCCAGCCTACCTCCACCCTGACACCAGCAGCTGGGCAGCCCGTACATATAGCCGTGGGCAGGCAGTGCTGGCATCTAGGCAGGAGCAGGTGGGTGGGGCCAGGGGATCACTGAACTTGCAGGTGTCTGCTCCAAAGTCCATAGAGGAGGAGCCTGCCCTGACTGCTGGCTCCACAGAGCCCCGTCAGTCCACCCCCTCTCCCCTGCTTGATGGCTAGCACAGCCCGTTAAGCACTCTGAAGTTATCTTTATTCTCACTCACTCCTGCGGCACGTGTTTTATTAAGAACCTACTACATGCCCAGCATAGTTCAAGTGCTGGGCGTACAGAGGTTGCGCAAAAGTTCCAGCCAAGATTCCAGCCTCATGGGATTGATATTCTAGTGGGGGAAACAAGGGAAAATGTATAGTATGTTAGGAAAGAAAAAAATGGAAAACTGGTTAGTGACTATATAGGCAAACTGTGATATATCTATACGATGGAATATTATTCAGCAACAACTAAAAAATGAACGGACACATGGTACATCGTGGGCGAACCTCAAAAACATCCTAGGTGAAAGAAGCCAGGCACAAGAGATTACCTATCGTACGGTAGCATTCATACGAAGTGTTCAGGGAAGGCAATTAGGAAGTAAATGAGTGGTTGCTGGGAGCTGAGTGGGAACGGGATTAACTGTAAGCGGACAGGATCTTCCTGGGGGGATGGAGAAAATATTCTAAACTGATTTACGGAGACAGTTGCGCCACTTGGTTTAGTCTTAAAGATCACTGAACTGTAAATTTGAAAGGAGTGTGTTTCATGTAACTTATACCTCAATAAAAGCCGTTAAAAAAAGTAATAGGAGCAAAGAAGAGAAATACAGCAAGAAAGGGGACTAGGTAATAACCGGTATGTTGGGAGGGTTTGGATTTTAGGTAGTCATCAGGGAAAGCCTCATCGAAGTCTTTTTGGGGGGGTAAAGTTCTGAAAATGAGAAGACGAGCCATGCAAGCATGTGGAGGAGGAAGAACATTCTAAGCAGAGGGAATAGCGAGCGCAAAAGCCCTGAGGCAGGAACGTACCTGTGTGTCTGCCGAACCGCAAGATCCGGGTGGCAGTGAGAACGGAGGGAAAGAAAACGGAGAGGAATGGGAGGGGCGTCTTGTAAATCAAAGATCTTTGTTCTTTGAGAAGAGGTGAAATGATGACTGTGGTTTTGCCCATAACCGGATGCAGGACATGAGAGAAAGTGACTCTTTCCTGGCAGATCACAAATTCCACGACCGTGGGGACCTCACCCGCCTTGCTCAGCACCCAGAACAATGTGACTCAGAGTTAGTGCTCACTATCGTTTAATGCATGAGTGGTTTCCTAATGCCAGGCCCTGAGCGAGGCAGGTTGGAACAAGCATAGTGGCTATGAGTCTGGGTCCCGGAGGTCGCTCTGCTTACGGCTGAGTATTTGCTCTACCCCTTCCTGCTCTGTGAACAGATATAAGTCAACACTCTGGGCCTCTGTAAAGGTGGAAAACTTACCTCATAAGGTAGGTGGTTTTGCACAGAGCCTGCCTGGCACAAGCTAAATAGATGCTCAATGAATGTCAGGTTTTATTAATATCCACAAATACAATCTCATGATTCTTCATTGGGGTTGCTACAGGATCCTGTGCTATACACGAGGCAGTTGAGCTTCAAAAGGTACAATTTTATGCCCAAGGACATTGGGCCAGAAGGTTGTGGAGCAGCAGTGTGAGACCTTCCAGACCCAAGACGAAGTAGCTCTCTGCTACTGTGCTAAAATTGTGGGCAGGGCGAATGGGTCTGGGGAGAGTGCGGCCTGGTCCTCCAGACTCCCCTCTATTCACTCTATTATAGTTAGGATGTGGCAGCTTTTGCAGAGACCCCAAAGACAGAGGTTGAACAAGATAGATTCACTTTTCTCTCCCACGGAAGCTTGAGCTGGCGGGAGTCTGAAGAAGACGGGTGGGTGTGGGACCCGGGCTCCTTCCATGTAGTTGTTCCAGGGTGTCGTCCTTGGACATGTCGTCCCACGGAACCCACCACTGGTTCCTTAGGAAGGGAAGGGGCAAGTAGAGGGCATACCACGTCCTTTTAAGGACCCCACCCTTTGGCCAGGATTTAGATACGTGGTCACATTTAGCTGCAGGAGAGACTGGGAAATATCGTTCCTGGCTGGGCAGTCACACACTCAGCAAAAACCTGAGGACTTCTATTACTGAAAGGAAGAAGGGAGAGGTGGACAATGGAGCCTGCTTCTCACTACTCCCTATTTATTGGTGGCAGTGAGAGTCCCTCACTGCCCTGCTCTGCCTAATCCAGGTTTACAAATGGAGTGGACAATGGAGCCTGCTTCTCACTACTCCCTACTGGTGGCAGTGAGTGTCCCTTACTGCCCTGCTCTGCCTAATCCAGGTTTACAAATGGAGGCCAGACTATTATCTCTACCCGAAAAGACTTGGTCCTAAGGGTATATATAAGCAATGCCTTCTCCTTTGTAGGAAGAAGGGAGCTGTTCCCAGCTGCCCTGCAATACTGATGTCATTCACAACTAGACCAGCTTACTCTTGCTCTAACTTTTTATCAGCACACATTCTTCAGAGGGTCGCTTCAACCCTGACGTTTTTATTTAATCACTGTAATTTAGGAAGAGATTTCTGGATGCCAGTTTTAGTGGCCAGGGAAGGCAAGACGGTGTAGGGAGAGACAGTCCTTCACAAGGGCCCTGCACTCCTCCGTCTGAGGACTGACATAGCTCATGGAAAAGTAACTGCTTCAAGGCCTGGCTTAGCCTCTTTCCCAAAGTTTACATGAACGAAGTGCCCTGGTCTCATAAACACCATAATCTCTGTTAGAGACTGTTTCCTTTGAACTTAACCACATCCCAGGAGGTGGATGACCTTGAGCACGTGGTACGCAGGGACTCGGTTTCCTTTCCCACAGACGAAAGAGCTGCGCTGGCCTCGGACATTCTGGATGGAGTACGAACAATCAGGAAGTCTTGAAGGACTGTGTTTTGGGAGGTGCCAAGGGGCCAACGGCCCAACTAGGGAAACCCAAGCTCGGCCTCTACCCAGCTGACTGTAGTGTCTAGGGTTTGATTTTACTGCATACCAGCTAATAATTTAGCCTGTTACTGTTTCCAAAATGCTGGCAAAAGCCTTTTTTTTTTTTTCTTTAACGCTTACAGCACCTGTTATTCCTAGGTGGAATCCCATCCAAGTACTAACCAGGGCCGACCCTGCTTAGCTTCCGAGATCAGACACATTCAGGGTGGCATGGCCATAGACCTGGCAGAAGCCTTGAGACTCCCAAGTTAGAGACAAAAGGCTTTATTACTCACAGCAAGGAGCATAAGCATCAGCATCCGTGTTGGTTTCCCTTGCCCCATGGAGGCAAAGCGGAAGGTCCAAATGGGCCCTGCGCATGCAGTGGGTTGCATTACAAGAGTAGGTCACTACTATGCTTGGGGACCTGCCACCTCATAGCAGGCAGTAGGCAAGCGCGCTCTTTGTCCAAAGGGAGCTATTTCCTCATCCCTCAAGGTGCTTGCTGCAAACGCAATCCTGGGAAGTAGCCCGTGAACAGCTTTCTGTGCCATGCACTCCTGGCACATCCGGCAAGACGTGCGACACCATGAGACCTCACTGTGGAGTACTCTCTCTGCCAACAGTCCACCCCTCCTGTTTTCTGACGAATTTTCACACTAGTAAGCCATTCTGTCGGCCACTGGTTAATCTAACAGAGGCAGGGGCCATGTTTGTTCGGTTTGTCTCCTACAGCATTTCATTTAGGTTGCGATGAACAGGACTCCGAAGAGCAGCGTTGCTACGAGGCCAGCCTGCCATCCAGTCTTGGACCTGTCCAGCCGTGAATGGGCAGGGCCTATTGCAGACAGCCAGGGTGAGGTCTGAGGCTAATCTATCATCTGTTAGGACCCACCCGGGGAGGTAAGGCTGACCTGCTGATCCTTGTGTCATTGTCAATACCCCCAAGGCCTGAAAGCAGTCCTCCTGCTCCGAGGACGGGACCGTATGACTCATTCTTTCCCACATGCAAAAACACAGACCGCTGGGGCACAGGGCACTGCGGTTCAGGATTTGTTGTCAAACTTGACTTGGAACGTCACTGCACTGGTTTGGTTAAACCACATGGGCAGTGCCACTGAGTCGTTCAGCCTCCACTGCCATACATGGCATGACCCAAGGCTGCTCGGGAGGCCCAGTGTGATTTTATCAGCCAGAATGGGACAAGGCTGTGCAGGTCGGTGTGTCGCAAACATCTAGGGGTGGGGCTCACATTCAAGAGCTGCTACCAAAGGTGTCAGGCACATCAGGGCAGGTCAGGACGGCCACATCTACCGGCCACATTGCCAGCTGCAGACGTGTAAGGTTCACTTACACGTGATGACTGTCAGAGGTCAGGATGTGGTGCTGGATTTAGAACAGGGGAACTGGGCCGCACGGGAGGAAGTGAGCAGTGGGCAAGCGAGCGAAGCTTCATCTGTATTTGCAGCCGCGCCCCAGCGCCAGCACCACCGCCTCAGCCCCATCTTGGATCATCAGGCATTAGATTCTCATAGAAACACCGGTCCCTGGTGCCAGAAAGGTTGGGGACTGGATTCTGGAGGGCAGAGAGCACTGACTGCACTCCCACCTCCTGGGTTTAAGGTGGTCTCTCCCCTGGTACCCGGTCGTTTCCTGCCTCTGAGGACACAAAATCAGCGTGTACCTCATTCCAGCAAGTAAAGCTTCAGCTTTTCTATTTCTATCAGCACCTACTCACACCCGGACCTTTTGTTTGGATCAGACGTGAGAGGAACAAGCATTTTCATAAATTCACAGGGACCACGTGGGCCACTGTAGGGAGACTTGGCAAGCGGGGCGCTCAATGGCCAAGTGGTCATTATCTTCACGACTGAGCACCAGTCCAAGAAAGAATCCAGGGGGCTGAACCAGAATCACCTTCAGTCCGAGGCCCCTTCTGGTTGGCTCGCCCCGTAGAGGGCGCACCAGTCAGGTGGGCCGGGGCGTGGTGCTGAGGAGAAGGTGCACCACACGCAAGAATGAGGGTGCAAAACCGACCCCTCTGACCTGGTCTTTACCCAGATGGCCTAGAGATAAACCCTTTCTGGGGTCAGCCATATTCAGTGACCAAACTGCCTTTTTAAAGTGTGTGGACTACGGTGAACACTCAATGCAGTATATATATATATGTCTTACTGTTGGACTGTACACCTGAAACTTACTGGATTTCGTTAACCAATGTCACCATAATACAAATAAAAATAAAAAATAGATCATATAAAAAAATAAATAAGTGTGTGGACTAGAAAGTGAGAGATGGGTTTTTTTTGTTGTTTTTTAATCCATTTCCACTTCTTAATGATGCTGAAGGCCATGAGATGTCCACTGAATACACCTTGGCTATTGGTCCATTGCTGGGCAGGCTTTGCAACACAAAGGGTATCATTGTCAGCCTGTAAACAGCTCAGAAAGTTGAAATCATGGCACAGTTGAGTTTCAGGGGCCATAGTGGCAATGGCAGTCAGCTGACCAGACTGGAATGACAGCACCATAACCTGAAAAAGCACAATAGTGACACCACTGGCAGAATAAGAGAGGCCCATAGGTCTGATGTAGTCAATCTGTGAGAGTGAGTAGAGCCCTGGAGCCTCCCTGTGAGACGGGACGAGTTTTGGCAGGAGTCAGAGAACTTCTGCATTGGAGACGCATAAGGGTACACTGTATGAAAACCTTCAAAAGCTTAATTGGTCCTGATGGTGTTAAATCACCTGATGATCTTCCTAGTGCAGCAGAATTATTAGTGATTCCCAAGTTTCTTTAAAAGCCCAAACAGACAACTTTTTCCCTTCGCATGACTAAGATGTGAAGGAGACAATTCTTCTTGGAATAGGTGGAGAAAGGCCTCCTGCGAGGCCAGAGGCATCGGTGAGTTTGAGAGTCCTGACAAAGGCAGAGGTGAGTGGACTTGAGAGCTGGTCATGGTGGCAGGGTGGGTACAGGGGAGAGCCACCAACGACTGGGAAGAAAACAAGGAAGCAGGTCCGTGGGCAGAGGTGGAAACCAGCCCCCTGGAGGAGGCTCCCTTGCTGAGCACGTCCCATGGGTGACCTGACACCTGTGACCTCACAGAACCCTTACCTCCACCCGTCTTATAGGAGGAAACTAGGTTCAAAGGAGTTAAGTGACCTGCCCACTGCTGCACACCTGGAGAGTGGTGGGCAGTGTCCCTTCTCGATGACTTGGATCTTTCCCTGGATCACAGGCTCTCCCACTCTGGAGTCCCCATGTGTCTGGAATACTGCTCACTAACTCTGAGTCAACTGCAGTGACTGGAAGGCTTGGCAGGGAAAGTGCCAGAAGCCACGAGCAATAGAAGCCAGGAAGGAGCAGATGCGGTATTTGGCGTCTCGCTTCTGGTATAGGTTTATAGGCCCAAAGGATACAAGTCTTTCCCTCAGTGTACAGAGTGCGACCTTTTTGGCTCGAGGGACTTCTAGGAAGAGCTTCTTGTCTTTTTATTCCAAGGGGAGGGAGGCCAAAGCAACATCTGGAACTGTCAGGTTGCACAGGGCCCACAGGCTGGCCTGGCACCTCCACCCACTCACGGGCCAGGGCCTGGCTTTCCAAGCCACCAAGGCAGGTGGAGACTGTCCCAGGAACCCTTGAGCTAGAACAGGGATTGCTTCCCGTACGTCCCCTCAAAGGCTGTCCTACTGACGACTGACGCCCCCCTCTACCCCCACTGTGTGCTGGTTCCTCGCCAGGCGGGCATGAGGCATTTTCCTTTACCTGAGACAAGTCACGTCCAGGTACCCCTCTCTCCATCTTGCCCTGTTCTACATTATTTTAGCACCTGCCACTCACACAGCTGGGAGGATATCCACGTCCTCATGCTGCCCAAGACAGGCCTCAAGTTCCTTTAATAAACTCTTCGTGTAATGATGGAGTTGTCCACCTTTTTCTTTGGTCTCTCGGCCCTCGGAAATTTTACCTAACACTGTGGGTTGCTCAGATGCTGCTCTGTGTTTAGGACTAGGTGTCTGGAAGATGGAGGGGAGGAAAGGGGCTTCTAGAGTCCAGACAGGACGGGAACTCCCACGTGTAGGCAGCAGAGCTGGGACTGAGCTGGAGGCCAAATTCGGCAGCATGGTGCCCCGTCCCCATATCAATGCAGGGCTACGAGGGCGGCCTGAAGCAGAACTGCAGGAAAAGCTGAAATTCATGACGCCCAACTGACCTTGGTCAGAACCACCCCAGCTTTAGCAGGGTCCCATCTTCCCCCGGAGAGGGTGCATCCTCATTCCAGCCCTCCTGTGCCCTCAAAGCAGTGTTTCGAGGCGTGCGATACAGTCCACAGTGTGTCATTAAAAAAAAATTCATTGAACATGGCTAGAATTTTTTGAAAGGGAAATAGGATAGAAAATACCAGAGCTTACCACAGGTGGGAAAGCTAAGTGTTATTTGGTGAAACTTTGTTGTAATGTAAGATCATTCAAAAAGATCTGAAAGATGCTCTTTTAGGGAGTTCATTTCTAGAATGGGACATCTCATGCAATCCTGTGATAATTCTGGTAGAGTTCCAATTAGCAGTCCCATAAAGAAAGCAAGCACATGCTGAAATTTATTTTAAAAAGGAAGGCCCTTTTTATTAAAGTTGTACATTTTACTGTCTTCCTTTCAGAACCCTAATTTAAAAAAAACAAACTCGTTTAGGCTTCCTTAAAAAAAAAAAAAAAACCCCACAAATCAGACAAACAAAGGAAACTATTAAAACATCACTTCTGTGATGGTAAAGGAGGCAAAAGGATTCAACACAAGAAAAGAAAACTATACCTGGAGCAAAGAGAAATCAAAGAGGAAGCAACTGGTCCGCGCCAGGCCACGTGCACCTGGACGGGAACCAGAGCCCTTTCCTGGGCAGATGTCCACAGCAAGCCTGCCCCCAGCGGCCAGGAGCGGCCCTCGTAACTTCTGGAGTGACAAACAGACCAAAAGCCCTAATGATCACAAAAATACAAATCAATCACTCTATTTCAAAAAGTACACACGCATTCTAGTTGTCTCTCCTCGCTCCCCAGCTTCTCATCACCAACAAGGAGTCCTGAATCCTGAAAAGGGGTGGACTCTTGGTGACAGGGCAGTCACAAGTGGCACGTGTTCTTCACCAGGTGCTCCTTGTCGTCCCCAGAGATCCAGACGGTGCGGAGGGCACGCTCCTGGTTTCTCCGCACCACCCGGATCAGGCAGACCACGGAGGCTCCCAGCAGGAGGATCAGGACCATCACGAACAGCACCGCCAGGACCACCACTGGGGAGAGACAGAGGCCTCAGAAACAGCGGGCTGGGGGGCCGCGGCCAGGGTGGGTCCCCAAGGGGCTCAGGGCGAGGACCAGCAGCTCTTCCGCCTGAAGTCCCCCACCCTACCTGAGAGGGTCTGGAGGACTGACACCGCCCACCAAGGAAATCATCAGGAAGTCATCGAGGAGAGTCCCCACAGTCCCAAGAAGCCAGTTCTCAAAAAAAGGAGGCGCCATGTGACGTGTACACAAACAGGGTGACTACTGCGCTCCTCTTTGAACCAAACATTCCCACTTCGACTCTGCATTTCCCACCACCTCTGGTGTGTATATAAACACAAAACCTCCGCCGGCCACAGAAAACGAGGTGCCCCCGCAGGAGGCTGGGGTGGCGGCCTGTGGAACGAGGGGGGCAGGTAGCGGCAAGGCGTATCTGGAGCAGTGCGGGGAGGGGACCCTTGTGCTTCTAATGGCTCTGACAAGTTTAACAGTGGTCGCCTCACCTGTCAGTTAAGATTTTCTTTTCCCAGGTGGGGCTCCACCTAAGGAACGTGGCTCCTGTGGCAGCTCCCTCGCTCCCCTGCCCTGGTTGCAGATTAGGGGCGAGTGCCTCCCCATCACCCCCCGCCAACACTCCAGACCCAGGCTGCTTTCAGCCCAGGCCTAGCAATCCAGTTCTAGCTTCACTCTTCTTCTAAAAGAGAGCAGGCAGGCGGCCAGGGCCGGGCTTCTTAACAGGGACACGTGTAGAAAGAGGCCAAACCAGTGTGGCAGGTCTTTTGCACAAACACTCTCTTCCATGACTCAGAAACAAAAGCAGAGGAGGCCCGGCCTCCATGTCAGACCCACTGCTTGGGGACAACAGTACTGGCTGTGCACACGGCAAGGGCTCTCCAACTGCCTTCCTGTCACATATGACCTACTCCGTCCACCCTATGGGGCAAAGTTCCCTCTACACCTGGAGTGAGACTCAAGCCTGCATGCAGCAGACACCGCACGCCTGAAGGCAGGGCTCACCCCGCCACCCCAGGCACCGCCAGCTGAGCCAGCTGAACCGAGACTGCCTCGCCCCCCGCCCACACACTGTATGGGGGAGGGGAGGGGTGCGGGGGCCGCGAACATCTACCACATGTGCCAAGCTGCCTGGCCATTCTCATAAAGAAACACAACTTTCTACCAAAAAGATGTTTATGGTGAAGGATGATGATGTGTCCAAGACATGTGAGCCTGCAAACCACAGCTGAGCTTAGTCAAGGCAAGCAGGTGGGGGAGGGCGAGAGGCCATTTACCGTTGGTGCTGTGGGAGACAGGCGACAACTGCTTGCCTGGGAAGAGAACACAAAACCCTGAGGTCAGCTCAAGTCGTCCACCAGAGCTGCCCCCACCTGAGGATGCCCCTAACCCTGGCCCTTCACGGCGGGGGCTGGGGCCCTCTTTCTGAGGTATTTCCTCTTCCAGCTCTTCTGCAGTCTTTGAGGCCTCGTCACCCTGGTGGGGACCTAGGATATGTCCGCCCAACAGCCAGAGCCCGCACCCACCCGCTCCCCACTAGGGGGCCGGAGAAGGGTGGAATCCACATGACAGCATTTGCGAGGCCTTGGTTTGAGGGATGGGGATGGGTCTGGGCAGGGGCTGTCCGGCCACCGCGGTCTCCTGGACCCGAGGGCCAGGCAGACTCACCAAAGCAGCGGTTCATGCACTCCTCTTTGGAGATGTAGTTGTTTCGATTGCCCCAGCACCCTCCATAGATGAAGTTATCACAGGAATTCTTCTCGGCATCAAAGTGCCAGCGTGAGAAGGATGAGCGGCAAGGCCCAGTGACCGCCTTGGCAGTGCAGTACTCTGGGAGTGGGAGCACCGGGAGCACAAATGAGCGGGGCCCAGGGGAAGTGGGATGGAGCTGGAATGCTCCCAAGCAGAGTCCCACAGCTGCCAGCCGAAGGAGAAACGTCTCTCTGCTAAAGGAACTTGTAAACTACAGACGTGGCCAGTCTGGCCATCTGACACCATCCTCCACATTTTCAGCATCTTTCTCTTTACGGTCAGACTGTATTGATATGGAGAGTCCTCTATGCCAGGCACTATTCTAGGCACTTTCCATGTATTAACTTGGTTTCTTAGAGACCTGTCCGAGGCCACTCATTTCATATTCAGGGACTCTGAGGCAGAGGTAAAGTCACCTGCCCACAGCCACAAAGCTGGTGAGGGAGGCCTGCCACCTCTTTAAGGCAAAGCTTCCTACAGCAAGTTGTGCGCACCCTGCTGCCCACTGCCTGGGCCACCCTCATGTGTCCTGCTGCCTGCGGAAGGTCAGGAAGCCCCACTCTACAATTTCCTTAGTGGAAATCCTCAAGTGTGTCTCGATTCTCAACCACGTGAGAAAACATGTTTGGCCCATACATAAATATATTTTTTTAAAGTTCTACTTTCGACCATTTAAAATATAAAAAATGAAATTTAAAAAAAAGTTATACCTTCGTAGTTGAAAGTATCGCTGGAGGAGTCGTCAAAATCCTGCCTCCTGGGAACTAAAGCACAAACATCCATGTCAGGGAGGCGGGGATGGGCACGGGACACGTGGGCTGGCCGGGCCTGAAGGGGCCCACTGGGGGCATGGACACTCTAGCGCCTAGAGGGAGGGTGTGGGGTGTGGAGCCTCCTCTGGGCACAGCTGTGCTCCACTGCCTCCTGGTCCTAATGGGCTCTATAGCACACGTAGAATGAATGCTGGATGGGCTCACCTGCCACCCCAGGGGTTGCTATGGAAACTAATCCCAGCCATAATCTCTGGGGAAATTTTCTTCTGAAATAGGATGGAACCGGAGTTATCACGCCAGTGCCCCAGGGTTCTGGACGACCTTGGATGAGATCAGCTTTGTTATAAAGAGTGAAAGTAGGTAAACCAATGGCCAGGATGGTCACAAGATTCCTGCCTTAGCAAAACTGAAAAGTGACTCTAGCCTAACTTTTGGCATTCTGCAAATCAGCCAAACAGAACGAATAAATACTCATTCTCACATGAGTGCTGGTGTCACACAGCCAGAGGACCAGAGCCAAGAAGGCAACAGCGCACGGCCACTAGCCTACTAGGGGCTGTCCTCGAAAAGGGTCGGGGTGCATTCCGCCCCGCTATGGCGGTTCTTGCCCAGCAGAGCCTATCGCCTGGAGACTGGCCTTTGCTAGTGCAGCTGTACCACTCACTCCGGGCTCCCAACGTAGGGTCCTTTAAGCAGAGGAGGGATGGGGCAGCTGCGGTCAAGATTGCAGTGTGAACGGAGGCAGGGTGGCAGAGGACAGGACTCAGCACAGGGAGGGAGGTGGCCAGGACCATAGGGAGCAGAAACAGAACAGGCAAGGAGGTGGGTGGGTAGTGAGACAGCAGAGGCCAGCCCAGAGAAAAGGAAGGGCCTGAGTTGAGCCATGTGGGCAGCGACCACGATCTCTTGGCCCCCAGGAGGAAGCTGAGGCCAGCCTGGAAGCACTGCAAAATCCCTCGGCCCTCCTGTCTGCAGGATGCCGGCAAGGAGCCAGAGGCTGGCAGCCCGGCAGAGCCCGTTTGCCAATGCTGAGTAAACAGAACTAGGAAGCAGAAGCCCTTGTACAAGTCTCGGATCACAAAGGTCCTTTCATGGTCACCCATCTGGATGGCCCTCGTCCCACCCTGGGTCTTTTAAAAACCTACCACTTAGGATAGAGGAATCTGCTCCATTCTTGCTGGTGGCTGGATCATCAAGGGTGTTCTCTACAAGGGGATGAATAAACAACAGAGTGAGAAGACACGCCCCTCCAAGACCGCCCGGTGAAACTACAAAGCCGTGACCCCGAGCAGCTCTCATGGCAACTCCCATTTCTCCTTAGCGTGGGCCCTTCAATGCACATGCTGGACCACAGGCCTGCCTGAACCTGGAAATACGGAACCAAGAGTCCCCCTGCAGGTTAAACTTTAAGATCGACTGGCTGGGAATGAGAGCAAAGACGCGTGAAATGAATGTAAAAGGACAATATGGCTACCAGGGCCAAATAACCTGTGTGACTGCATTAACCTGTCTATGAATTAAAAAGTTACTGGGGTGTACAGCAGCAACATGGTTAAAATGGTAAGTTTCATGTTATACATAGTTTACATCTTTCTCACTCCCCCGCCCACACACACAGTTAAGGCGGTGGGGAGGAGAGGCTAGTCATTTAAGGAAGCACAAAAAAAGGAGCACTGCCAGGGCCCGGGAGGGAGGAGCCCCAGCTCCCTGCCTCCCTTCTGGTCCCAACAGACCTTCTGGAGGGATGCAGGGCTGGCCTGACCTGGTGTCATTCAACAGTCACGTCGCAAACCAGCTCCCCTCGTTCTGCCTCTCTGCTCATCATCTCCTGGGAATCTGGCTGAAAGGTCTGCCCATGTGGACTAAAGGTGCAGGCACAGGGACCGCAGTGCCTGGGGTTCCCTGGGTGGTTCTGCTTCTCATTATAAATTAATAAACTAGCCCTCTCATTATCATGTGGCTTCCCCACAAGAACTAGTTAAGAGCATATTCCTGAGGGAGAAATATGCTCACAATAGCCTCCAGTGACTAGTTCCTCTGGCAGTTCTAGCTCCCCTCACAGACTCACGAGATGCCTCAAGAGAAGTGCAGTGGAACCATGCTTGGGTGCCAAGAAAGAACTTTCTGGGCCCTCAAGACTGGGGCCAGACTCTGAACCACCTCTCGGAGAGGGCTGTCTGCCGTCTCCCAGCAAAACACAACCAACCACACCTGGCCCCTGTGGTGACATCTGTCTTAATCTGTCTACTGCTTGTGTTCTTAAAACCGACTCTCTGAGAAAATGACGAGGAACCAGAAAGGAAGGGCAAGTACGTTTCCTACAGTTGACTCCTGACTAGGAAAAGGCAGAAAAGGTAGCAAAAATATTTCCCCTTAATTCCTCCCCTAAAACCAGATCACGGCTGACTGGAAAAATACAATAAATGCTATTTTCCTCAGTCGCCAACCGGTAAAGTTGCCAGTTGCTTCCTGAAAGGTGCAGGGCTCACCTGTATGGTCCAAAGACAACATCCTGCCACCTCGGCTCTCCAAGGGCTTGTGGAGAGCCTGCCCGGCACCCGGATCAGTGGAATGGCCCTCAGGGCGCTTGGCACTGTTTCAAAGCTCATGTCAGAGCCAAGGCCGCTATCCCCCCGCATCCCCTTTACATATAACTCTAAAAAGCTTATCTAATTTCTGAATGCAGAGCTCGAAGCCCAGAGATTATAGCCAGTGAGTGAGAAGACATAAAAATCTGACAAGGATGCAGGGCGCGGGGTCGCAGGCTGGCTCTGTTCAGGGAGCAGTGAGGGCACCAGCACATCCTGACACGGAATCAGAATGCAGAAGCCTCACACTGATGCCATCGAGAAAGGATGCGAGGCGTCACATGCCAGTGTCAGGGAGACTGCTAATGAAAATGTTCGACAGTTTGGCTGGCTACATCCTTGAGTCCCTGCAACACCTGGGAGGGGTCAGGCCCCAGAGGGCCATGTCTCACTGCCACCAGCTCTCAAGGAGTCTTACGGCTCAGTTCAGAGCCAGTGAAGGTTGTTGTGGGGATTTAGCTTTCAGGGTCAACATAATCTTGATTCCATGGAGTCCTTCACGGGTGAAGGCTGGGAGAAGCATGGATTCCAGGAAGTATGGTCTAGTTTTAACTTGACTCAGAACTTGGCTGGCTGAGTGAGATCATTTGCCCTAGAGGTAAAAATAACCCAAATGGCCAGGGTGTAAGGGGGACGGCCTGTTCTGAGTGGACCTGGAGGTCTCTGCTCGAGAAGGGGAAACCACTTCCTCCTACGCCGGGTCTGTGGGACTTGGACTCAATGGGAGAAAGGAAGTCGTGGAGAAGACACAGACGCGCCCCGCCCCCGGCTGCAGCCTGCGGCCCACCCTCCCCATTCTGGGAAGAGGGGAAAGGGGCTGCTGTGAAACCACTGTGTGGGTGACCTTTATTTTACAGTGTGCCTGTTTCTTCTGCTTTAATGACATCCTCCGGGGTCAGCCATGAAGAACTAGTTAAGAGCAAAAGGCATCTATCTACGTACCAGTCAGTAAACTGTCTCTACATATTAACATTTCCCCAGCCACACTGTCTTACCCGTGACGCCAGCACACTTCTCAAGACATTCCTCCTTGGTCAGGTAATTATTGCCATTCCCACCACAGCCTCCATACACAAACTGCTGGCAGGATCCGCCAGTGACATTGTACCACCACCTACGGAAGGAGGCTCGGCATCTTCCCACGACCTTCGGAACTCGGCAAAAGTCTAAAACACAAAGCAGAGACTGGTTAGCTCGCCAGCGACAGAGACCACGCCTGGACCTGCCGGTGGAGGCCCGTGAGGGCTCGAGCCCCGGTTCTGGCACGCTTCCTCTGTGAGCTGTTTCCACAGCGTCGCTGTCAGGCCTCCTTGGTCACTCCTTCCTGTACAGGAAGGCATGTCATCTAACAACACAGATACGCTTTTCAGTTGCATGTTGATTTTGTCCCTGACCCCATTATCAAAGACACACATACCCAGTATAAAATATGACTTTCAAAGGCAAAAAAACAGACGTCAGGGTCCTCCCGGACACGTGTGCCATCACACCGGGCCAGGGGAGCTGAGTGCGGAAAGGCAGTGCGCTGGCGACGTGAGGTCAGGAGGGAAGGAAGCACACCGTCTGGCGCTCAGAGAGCGCCTTCCCTGCCCACTCTGCCCGGGTTGGCCACTGCACACGCAAGTTACCGCGAGCACCTCAGAAAGAAGTTCCCCAACTCCAGTTCCCCCCACGGCCAACCCCCAGCTCCAAAGGCAGCGCGGGTCACTCTTCTGCCCCAGTGCTGTGACGGCTCCCATCTGAGCACACAAGGCTGGCCTGGGTTTCAAGGTGCCCCGAATCTGGCCCACTCTAGCACAAGGAACAAAACGGTGTTATCCAATTCCAGGCAGACATACCTGCCTGCAAAAGGCCTAGCACTCTGTTCTTATAAAAAGTGAGAGGTAAGAAAGTGCTGGAGGTATCAGCTGCATCAAACTAAGACTTTCTCTTGGAAGAATCAAGATTGAAAGCAACCTGAAAAAGCCAAAGGAGTCAACATCTGCCCTGTACCACCATACCGGGCCTCCCACACATTCACGGGTCCACATCGCCTCTCCCTGCATCCTGGCCTCCACAATCTGTCTGGCAGAAGGGCGCCTGGCACAGGGTGCTTGATAAATCAAAGCATCCTAGGGCTCAACGCTTGGGTCCATGCTGACACTTACTCCTCTCTAGTTGTTTTCGTGTTTGTTACGTTTACTTCACCAACTAGGGGAAAACTTTCGAAAGCACAGAGGGAAGATGTGTGCTTCTCTTCTGTCTCCCAAAATACGTCACAATGATGGGCATGAAACCAAATGTTCCATAAAACGTCAGTCTGTGGACAAAAAAGGTTGGTGCGAAACATACACCCCAAGGAACTCCCCTACACACCAATAAATCACAGATAACCAGTACAGCAGGAAAAACATATTCTAAAGTAAAAAATTCTGCTAATTTGGAAGCAACCAATCAATGAAATCACTAGTTAAATCGCTGGCTTGTATGCTTAAGACGAGTGATTTTATGATATGCAAATGATTCTTTAATAAAGCAGTTTTTAAATAGGGGCACCTTTTGTTCCTAACACATCAACCCGAAGCAGCTGGGTGTGTACCTGGAGCAGGTACTCTTCACAACCGCCAAAGGTCACAAAGTGTACACTGACAACACTGCGTGTGGAAGCCAGGCAGGAGAACAGCTCTCTGGTGTGTGACTCTGCCCAGTCCACGTGGTCAAATGCCAGAGGCAGCCCTGCTATCAAGAAAAGACAGAGAAGACCCACACTGGATCCACTTATGGCCCCCAACTGAAATCACTGTCAAGGCAGGGAGCACCCATTGCTAACAACGGTGGCAGCAGCCTGCCCGATGCCCTGCAGGCGGATGGCCCTGGGGAGCACCCCGATTACTGTGTCCTTGCTTTCTGAATAGCAGCAGTTGCAGCTACAGGCTTTTTAACAAAGACCCAAGGGCAGAACCGTACACTTTAAATGGGTGAACTATATAGTCAGTGAATTATATCTCAATTAAAACAAAAACCGAGAGTGCTGAACGAAGCTCAAGGCAGAAACCATCAGAGACCACAGCAGAGAATGCAACAACGTACAAAGGGTAAGAATTCAGTGGCTTCTCATAAGCAAGAATGCCAGATACACACTGTGCAGGTACGAAAACCTGAGAGTAGATGAAGAGGAAGAGGAAAAAAAGCCTATCCAGGGGTAGATGGCAGTTTCCATGGTGAAGGTAACACTGCCTGGAAAAGGGCCTCATCTTTGCAGGCAGACACACACTCAGTGTTCGGGGCTGATGAGACGCAGGCACGCTGGTCCCTGCGACCAAAGCATACAAGGACACTGATTAGATGTGGACATTTGCCAGTACACCACCTGGGACAGCAGGCTGAGCAGGTCGTAAGAAAGTTTACCGTCAGATTCCTCCACCAGGTCTGCCTCTGCGACACTTCCTTTCCTGATGGGAATGTTTTTCTTGCAGATGTGCTGGGCCCTTCTTTACAAATCTTTTGGGCCTGGGAGGCCATTCTGACTCAGACAGCTGCTCACAGCTGCTCTCAACTATCACACACTGATTTCATAGTTTGAGTTTCAGAAAGCAGCCTTATTTCAGGTTCCTTGCGTGGGGTAGGAGGAGATGGGGGGACTTCACTTTTGTCACAGGAGAATTTAGAAACATCTCTTTATTGAGAGAAAAGCTGGACAAAAAACAACATGTCTAGAAAGATCAAACACTGACAATTATTGAAGCTGAGTGATGGTCCACGGGGGCTCATAAAACTGTTTTCATTACTCTGCTGTTTACATTTGAAAAATCCTATAATAAGAGAAAAAAGGTACTTTTTTAACTCAAATTTTATTAGAGTAAAAGAGCTCTAACTTGCAGATTAATTAGCCAAAGCTGGAGTCAACGAAGATAAAATTCAACCATGCCCCTAATGTGTCAAGACAGAGTCCTTTCTGCAGGTGGAGGCTCCATACTGAGTGTGGAGTCTCATCCTGCCACATGCTTTTACTAACTAAATTGCTTTTAAAGCCTCTACGATATAAATTTTTACTCTCTAGGCTTGACAGAAGTGAACTCATGAAAATTTTGTTTTTGTTTGCTCCTTTGTGTCAAAGGAGACAGTGTTCCTTCAGGAAATACAGGCCATATATTCTTGACTTTCACCCTAAATAACATCAGATCATGTTCTTTCATTGTTCTCCAAAAAGTCTGTACAAAAAGCCAGAAATACTTGTAGTATGTAAGACAGTTCCCATGCTTTATCATCTTCCTTAAAAGAACTATACTTTGATAGGTCCAGATTAAAATAAAAATGAAGAAAATTACTTATTTCTTGACACTCCATTTATTGCCTTAACCAAGCATTGTGTCAGGCACATTATGTGGACTAATGGTCACAATAAAGCTGGGAATCATGCAGTAACATCCTACTTTACACGCAAGGACACAGGCTTGCTAAGCAATCAGCAGAGCCGGATCTGCCTTCGATTCGCATTGGTCTGACTGGAGAGCACCACTGTAGTCACGACCTTGGACGGACAAAGCCACTATGGTAACAGGCACTGGGGAAAATATGACCCTGAAGTTGCTCAGATGCCACGACATTCCTGAGGGCCTTTACCACCATCCGAGGGCTCACCAAAGCCAGGCCCTCGGCTGGGCCTGTTTCCAGTCACACTCGATGGCAGGGTCGGGGGAAACGTCATACCAAAACTGGCCGAGGGGATTCGGTTGGACGAATTTTCAGGGAACTTATTCCTTAGTGAATAACTATTATTATGAAGAGATGACAAAATGATAGATTCGTCTTAGAATAGTGTTGGGAAGTAATCATGAAAAATGTTTCACATTCTATTTGTATGCTCACAAATCTTAGTGCAAAATTAAATACTTTTTATGTTTTCAAAATGCAGAGTAGGAAAAGCTGAAGGGAACCAAATTTGGATACACTGGCTTCAGAATATCAAAAAAAAAAAAAAAAAATCTGCCTTCAAAAAACATTCCCTTGGAAAAGCATCAAAAATGGTTAAAATCACACATGACCCAAAATATGAACCTAAATTACAAAACCCTGGCAAGACATTTGGAACATTAGCTATGACAAAACTGCCAAACAGGCTGGTCTTTGTCACGGAAAACAGGTTTCTCAGGTTCTAATGTCACTAGTCACTAAAGCTTTAACAGACACACATAGCCAATGGTTTGGACAACTTCATTCAGTGAGCAGCCGGCTGGAATCATCTGCTGTCACCTCCCAACCAGGATATCACAGAAATATCAGGCTCCCAAGTACAACGAATCTAACTTAACAGGCTGAAGGAGATGGTGTCTAACCAACCTTCAAAAATGCATAATTGCAACTGTGCCAACTCTGAAAAATAAGTCTATTTTAATGGAATATTTCAAATATTCTGAAAAGTACAGGAAATACCAAAACACTGGTGTATCTACTTCTCTGCTGTGTCAAATTCTAACATTTTAAAGGACTAAAACATCGACGGAGCGGAAATACTCTGTGTATCCCTCACCTCAATCTCACCTGCTCCTGCCAACTCACCAACACCTTGAACTTCGTGTTTTCTTTTTTTCGTGTTTTCATACTCAGAGTCACTTTACCTTTAAAATAAACAAAAATAACTTTCTACGATTCTAGTCCTTGATACACTTTTTACTTTCATGGGTGCGCCGTAAACTGAAAAACACTGACTTCTTGCCTCGCCGTGCGCCTATAAAAAGCCCATCATCTCAAACGCCTGAAGCCCCTCATGGATCGGTCCTTCTTCTCCCACCCACTTTTCTCTAGAGCAAAGATCAGTAAACTTTTTAATGAGGGGTAAAACAGCAAATACAGAGCAGTACTTGCTTTCCACACTAGTGGAATCATGCAAAGTGAAAGGAAAAAGTATGAGTGTTTCAAGACATTTGAAATTTTTTTGTGTCGAAACATTAAAAACTGTGTGTTATAAATATATAGAATGAAAAACAGTAAAATGAACGTTATCCTTCGCTCTTTCGATGTAATAAAATTGTCCTGAGAGTTACTTCACCTTTTGTAGAGGTTTCTGCCACCATTACCTCCTCTGGGGCATCATCCTTTCTGCCACGACCACATCCCTCATTTCTGTTGGTAAGTGGGCCCTCCCTCACTGAGCTCCTCTGGCTGCGCATCCAGTCTCTCAAATGGA